TTCATAACTTTATCTGTAGGCTACAGCACAACAAAGAAAGAAATAACAACAATAAACACTATTAAAATAGACAAAAAACAAAGTATTTAACCATGCAGCCTACTTACTTACCTGTGGTAGAAGCACCAGTATCAAGGAAAATGACCAAATCAACAAAATCTCTAAGTCTACAAAATCATGCAGGCAAAACACTCCTGGTGTGGTATGACACCATGCAGCAGACAGAACAAAGCTGGGCCGCAGCAACGACAGCTGTAATGCAGCGCAAGATGGCAGAGATGATAATAAAAAATTGGGGACAAATTTATCTCACATTCTGTCTAACTATAGTGGGATGTAACATATCTGGTATGAAATTTATGTGCTGATGCTCTAGTTCAAAATAAGACCACACCTTTCCATGGTTGTCCATTTTCGAGCCTCGAAAAAGTCTAAAAAGTGTCCTGTACCAGGCGATTAATCTTGTTTTAGCCAAGACAAATTTCAGAAAACTTGCAGCCCCTGCCAACTGACTAGGAGGAGAAAGGAGTCAGCAGTCAATAGCCCCTTTTACACTGCCAGATTTTCCACAAATGTTGGGCCGTTTTGCTAGCAAGCTGTGAGCGTTTATACACACAGAGGCGGAATGGCGATTTGATCCAAGGTGCCCAATTTTCCGCCTCCTAGGGTAGACATATTGGCGGAACCCTTTAAGTTTAAACAGACCGAGGCGGCCTTCTGCAACGTGAGGGGCTGTTGAAGACTTGTGGGACTAACAGGAAACAGCTGATAGCAGGAGTTAGCAATCAGCTAGTAGCACGAGGGAAACGCAAACCTGACAGACACTGTAAAGATGAGCAACTGGGGAGACAAGGAATTGCACGCCCTCCTTGCCCTCGCAAACGAAGAGGCCATTAACCGTCAAATGACGGGGACGGTGAAGAACGGGCCGATTTACGAGAGAATCGCCACCTGACTAGCCACGGCTTCCCTCCCACGTCACTGTTTACGTCACATGCTGAGTTACATGTTTTGTTACTTGCTCACGCCCCCCATTGCCCCAAAAAAGGCGCATTATGTATAAACAAAAGTAGATAGGCGGCATTTTCCTGCACTTCCCGATTTTGTTTTTATACTGCCAATGCTGAAAAAAGACTGATTGGGCTTTCCTGCAAATTTGCACAACTCCTAGCTAAAAAGGGCTATTGACATTAAAAAACAGTCACGACAGGTTTTTCTAAAATTCCGAATCACCACAACCACAAGATGTTCTTGACCATGCAGTCATACATGTGCGCACAAAATATGAGGCTGATAGGTCTAGTAGTTTGCGAGATAAGCTGCGGGCAGACAGATACACACACTCTTCACAATATCCCCTTTAGGCTTACACCTGGCAGAGATAACTAACAAATCAAGGTAGCGGTAGACCAGCAACTCATGTTCTAAGTAAAATTACTGTTTTTGTCAAAGTAGTCTGGTGGCTTTAAAGAGAGCGATGTAACGGCTTTACTTCCCTGTTGGAAAAGCCAACCGACATCTACTGTAGGGAATACACTGACACAAATGGAGTCAACCTTTAAATGATTAATGAATTGCTTGAATTCTTCATAGCTCTCTGCCGTTTTCTTTTTGCAGAGGAATTTTCAAACTGTTGGTGAAATTCCAGCTGGAAAACAAAGACAACCCTTCATACACAGGTGTGCACACACAAACCTTCAAATTGCTGTCCAGATTTCACCCCTTAAATGTGTGTGTGTCGCTTTGTGAGTGTAATTTGTTCCCATCATTGTGTGCAGGATTGTCATTCCAAGATTTCTACCAGCGTTGTCGAGAGGCGTTCTTGGTGAACTCCGACCTCACGCTGAGGACTCAGCTGACTGAGTTCAGAGACCACAAACTGATACGGACGCGCAAGGTGGAGTCCTGTTTCACTTTAGAATTCCTAACTCTATATCAGTGATGAAACTCTCCGCAGCCTTGACTGTCTCACCTACTTTTCTTCCCACTATTCTCCAGGGTGCAGATGGAGTGGAGTGCTTAATCGTTGCGGTGGACGCCAGCACACTGATGGATTTCCTGGAGAACGAAGAGGGTGACTGAGAAGAGAAGGCTTTAGATTTATAGTTCATCCACTGACTTTACCAACAAATAGTTTGGTTGAATCTGTCACTGACATAAAGTCCCTGTTACATCTGATCAAGATGAAGACATGAGCCCAGTTTACAGGCTCTGCACAGTTTAAAATCATGGATTAAATTAGTCAGACATGCCTCATTGTAGCAATGTGACATTCACGTCTTGTTTTGATGTAATCACCTTTTCAGCCAACATCTGTATAATTAAAATCAACACTTAAAGAGCTAACGAGTTGTTGCAGTTACATTGCTTTAATTACAGAAATAGATTTACAGTTAGCAAAAACATACATTCTTTTGTGTGTGAAGGCAGGAAGGCATGCTGCTATAACAAAAAAAAAACAGAAAGCAAGGGAAGTTGTTCAATACTCTCCTCCACATGTAAAAACCTGTAACAGAAGGGAGAGGTCAGCAAGACTACACGTGCCATGCAAAATGCCATGTGAAGGTAACGGGTATAAAAGGGAGCGTTTAAGGATCCTGTTTGTAATCCCAAGAAAGAGGTTAAAGGATGAGTTTGGTATTTTTCACCTGGATCCCATGTTTTTGTGTCTAAGTCACTAATGAGAACGATTTTGAAACTGGTCCAATTGGCCAAACAGGCTGCATTGAAACCACTCAGAGCATGTATGCAAAGTCAGTTTACGTCCACTAAAATTGCTTGTTTTTGACACTGACAGGCTCGGTTTGTTATTATTAGTGTCTGACAACATTATGGAGAGGATCCCATACTGAGATAGCCCTTTTTGTTAAAGAGTAAGATCCTTTTGTTTAACCAGAAACAGCCCCAAAATCTTCATTACCAAACCCACCAGACTCCATTTAAATAAACAGTAATTTTAGCCTGTATATAGCCAGCATGTTTTCACATCTAACTGGGTGAATGAAGAGTTAATTTCAACTAAACCAGAGTTGGTGATTGTTGGAACAGTGTAAAGACAAACCAAGACGACTTTTGTAATTTTTAATTTGTATCTGACAGCCCTGAATTAGAGATGTTCCTATACCATTTTTTCCTTCCCGATACTGATTCAGGTGTCTGAACTTGCGTATCAGCTGATACGGAGTACAGATCCAACACCACTGCATTTAAAAAAAAAACAAAAACAGCTGTATACAGCTTACCCTGTACGTATGTGAAATGATTGGTATTGATGTATGGCACCACTCAGGTTAAACACTTTGAAATTCCTGAACAGATACATATAGAGAATCAGGAAAAGTCATGGAATTAGTACAAATAGTTAAAAGTTATGGAAAAGTCATGAAATTTTGTTGTGTGTGCTGAAATTCTTCCAGTAATCTTTTGGTGGATAACCTTCCACGTGATGTATCATAACAGCAAATTAATTTTCTATAGCCGTTGATGTAACGTAGCTCTAATATGCATAGATATGTGACAACGTTTAGATCACCATCACATAGGTTTCTTTTTTTCTCTCCGCCCCCCATCTCCTCCTGAAATTATGTTTAGATAGATTTTAAATATGTGTAAAAAATGCCAGGCAAATTTGGAAAGATTTTTTTTTTTCAGGCCCTTGAAAGGGGAAAGTCTTGAAATGTCCATGAAAATGTGTGGGAACCCTGGAGAATGAATGCCATAGAACTTTGTTTAATCCAGTGTAAAATACTGCCACATTGCTGACATTTTGCTAACAATACGCTATTTACAGAAGATCAATTCTTCTTCACTGCTCTAAAACAGTAGCTGCCAGCAGCTACAAAATGGAACTTGCTGTGTAGGCCACTGTTTCAGAGCAGCAAAGAAGAATTGATTTCTGGGACAAGTGACCTTCTATCTGGGTGTGAAACTATTTTAAAATTTATTGATATATTTTGCGTGATTTTGGTTCGGTGCATAGACTTGCGTACTCGCCAATGCCCAATCCAGCATTTTAGGCAATATCAGAGGCATTTTTGATACTGGTATCAGCATCAGACCATCTCCTCTTTAAATAAAGTGTGTTTTATGATGGGTTTGGCAGAAGCAATTTTGGGGCTGTTTCTGGTTCAACAAAAAGATAATCTTTGTCGGGATTCTGGCAGCGCAGTGGTGCCAGGTGGTGGTTAGCATTGTCGCCTCACAACAAGAGGGCTCCTGGTTCAATCCCAGGAGGGAGCCCTTCTGTGTAGAGTTTGCATGTTCTCCCCGTGTCAGGATTGGGTTTCTCTCAGTACTCCAGCTTCCTCACACAGTCCAAAGAAATTTTTTTTAGCTTGAATGAAAGATTACACACTCCCCTTTAAAATGATACCAAAGACAATATTGCGAAACATTGACAGATGTCCTCTACATGAGTCTAAAACAGGATATGCACCAGCATCTGAAAAGCCATTTCCTGAGGGGGTAGGTATACTTCATGAGCTGATAACTATGATACAGCTACCACTCAGGAACGGCTATCATACCATAATATCATCTACAGACATAGATCTTTTCAAAAAGTATAAGTAAGCTTTGTCACCTTGAGTGGTACCGACAAGTGAAATTTTGGGCTCTAAATATAAGTTTTCTCTATGCCAATAAAGCCCTTTAAAATCAATTTAACTAAATCCCTATGGACGGCATGGTGGAGCAGCGGTTAGTATTATCCCTCACAGCAAGATGGTTCCTGGTTCAAACCCGGGTAGAAGGGTTTGAACCGTCTGTGTTGAGTTTGTATGTTGTCAGCGTGGGTTTTCTCCGGGTACTCCGGCTTCCTCCCACAGTCCAAAGACATGCAGGTTAAGTGGTGACTCTAAATTGCCTGTAGGTGTGAATGTGAGTGTGAATGGTTGTCTGTCTCTATGTGTCAGCCCTGTGATAGTCTGGCGACCTGTCCAGAGTGTACCCTGCCTCTCACCCAATGTCAGCTAGGATAGGCTCCAGCAACCCCGCAACCTCTAACAGGATAAGCAGTTACAGACAATGAATGAATGTAGGATCCTTTCCATAATGTTGTCAGACACTAACAGCAATCTGAGCCTCTAAGTGGCAAAACAAACACTTTCAGTGGACGTAAATTGATGATACAAACGTGCTCTGAGTGTTTCCAGGTTGAAAACATCAAACTTACCCTTTAAATATAAGAAGCGGAGGGAGAGGTTTGGCCCTGAGTGCATGCTATGAAACGTTTCAGTGTTGGATGTCCGCAGTTTTCTGTGTCTGCAGTGAATCTGTTAGCGTCTCTGAGTCCAGTGTGTGCATCTGGAGTCTGTTCTGAGTCGCTGTGTATACGATGTGAAGCTCCTCTTCATCCAAATCCCTCAGCAGCAGCAGAACTGCGTCCAGAGTGTGTGACTGAAAATACAATTTGAATTGACTGAGATTAAAACGTGTATTCAAACACTGAGTTTTAAAAGGCAATGTTTCGGAGATAAGAGGGCACCTTTTTCATTGATGGTTTGTTTTCTCTGGTTGACGGAGAACAAAGAGAGGGGAACTTGTCTCTGGAGAGCGGCTTCATCCCCAACTCTTCCCTGATTTTGCTAAAAACAAAAATCAAGTTAGAAAGGCTTTGTTCTTAAAATGTGTACACCATTATGACAGATTATTTTCAATCAATGCGTGTTCCATTTCCTGTAAGTTTTAGTGTCCATCCACAGGGCTTACTTGGTCTCCTCCATGTTGTAGTTAAGAGGGTCATTCTCTGTCTCTGCATCTGGAACTCCATTGATGGAAAGCTGGTTTTGGATGCTGCCTGGGGGAGTGGTGACCTCCTCACCCTCCGCAAGAGCAAGTGCAATCTCATCTTCTGTTACAACTGCAAACACACACACAAACACCGTACACATGTCCTTCATTACAATTGCTTAAGCTCGCAATCATTTCTACTTGTCCCACACACACTGCACACTCACCTTGGTTGTCGAGCTTCTGGAGGCGAGGCAGGCAGCGCAGTACAGTGAGGCGATATTGGCTGGAGTCGGTCCCACAACAGGGGTTCTCTGCTAACCAGAGCACTCTGAGACGCGTCAGTGGACGCAGATGGGAGAGCTCAGAGAGTGAGGGAATATTGTTCCTCCTCAGGTAGAGCTCACACAGAGACAGACAGCCAGACAGAGGAGACAGAGACGAGATGCTGTTGACACTACAGAGAGGGAGAAAAGGAAGAAGGTCACAGCTGGGAGTCACTGATCATCTCAAATGATTCAGGTACATCCCCCCCGCTCATGGCAACTCCCAGATGGCAGTGGCCCCCCCAACAGGACAATGCACCATGCCACACTGTAATAACGTGCTCAAGGCGTCAAACTGCCCTCCTAATTCCCAAGATCCCAGACTGATTGTGCATCTGTGGGAAGTGCTGATACCCCACCTTACAACCCACAAGACTCAAATAATCTGCTGCCAACGCCCTGGCACCAGACACCACAGGACACACACCTGAAGTTGCACCATTCCACATCGGAAAAAAACTGCCATGAATGGCCCAAGGAACGTGACAAAGAGCGCAAGGCCAATCTGATTGAGCAACTGAGGGACATGTCAGTACCTCAGAGGTACACCCCATCCATGGGGCTGGCTCTGACCTGTTGATGCATGGACACAAGAGAAGACCTCTGGGAGCGTTTGCAGTGAGTGCTGTGGTTTATGAGATGGGGTACCAGCACATCCCATGGATGCTTGATCAGATTAGGATTTGACACCTTGAGCTCTTTGTCGCGTTCCTCAGGCCATTTATGAGCTGAGGAACCAGTGCCATCTGGGAGTGCGTTGCCATGAGGGGGTGTACTTGTTCTGCAACAGTGCTGGAGTGGGTGTAGCGCGTCAAGTGTTATCCTCATGAATGCCAGGACCACAGATTTCCTAGCAGAACATTGCATTGTAACAAGATGAGCAGTGTTATTCACTTCACCTGTCAGTGGTTTTAATATTGTGGCTGATCAGTGTAAATGTGTGTGTGAATGTGTCAGAGAGAAAGCAAAGCTTAATGTACCAACCTGAGTGTCAGCACCTCGATGTTGGCCATTTGGGAGAAGATAGAAATCTGGAAAGAGCATAAAGGGGAACACTTTTATTATTGCATGGATACATACATACAACTTTAATTACACATATTAAAAAGAGGAGTAACGTCAATTCAAGCATGAACAGTAAATTCAGTGTAAAATCAAAAACATGAATTAACAGAATACTCACATCAGTCAGGTTGCATCCCCTGCAAGAATTACGTGAAATGTTACCACAAATGGGAGATATACAAAATATATAGGCATTCCTGTCAACCTTGAGTATCATCATGTAAACTAAAAACCAGCGAAATAACTGGTGACGTTAACTGGTATGCTAAAATGTAAACACTTACCAGCAGTTCAGTTTCTTCACGCTGTCCAAGTCGGAGGCCTTAGCCTTCGCGAGAACCTGTTTCCGTGTTAGCTTCATGGCTAATCAGCTCATTCAACTGCCAAGAAATAATGTTTTTAATGCACTATATGCTCACGGGTAACAAAGACCGCATTATGACAGACGAAGTGGACAAACATTTCGAATCAGCAGCGGGGATGTTTCCACCATGTCAAATACGCATGCGCATATCCACCGAGGCGTCCTTAGTTACAGTCATTTCCGGTATAAATATTGCCTACGTAAAGAAATTATTATTATTACTGTTGTTAAAACTGTGCAGAAGCACTACTATTTGGCGAAAGTACTTTATGTTTGATATATATAGTAGAATAGTTTTATTTTTATGTAGTAGCGGCAACATATTGCAAAAACTCAAAGTCCCACAATGCAGCGCACACGAATGGGTAAATCGCGCCTGCGCGGTATGAACTCCCTCTTTGGACCTACGTCTCCACTGAAACGATGGTGAGCGAAGAATGTCCCCTTCCTAATCCGTGTCAATCTGACATATTCTGTGCTATAAATGCTATAATCACATATTTGGAGGCTCTGTGATCTCCATGTTTGTCAGACCTGGCCGTTATTAACGATGATTTTGTGAATATGTCAACAGCAAAAACGATGTTTTCATGTCTTGCTTTGAGAGAAATGGCTGCCACCATTGCTATGCTCTCTGAGCTCCAAGTACCAGGCGGGCCAGTTGTATTAGCTTCCCGTCGTTGGTTAAAACCTAAATTCATGCTGCTTTAGGGAACCAGCAGTGAAGCGAAGTGCTGTGCTTCGTGTTTAAATAGAAATTGTTGTCTTCCAACCCGGTCCACTGTTGCAAAGTCTGTTTGAGTTAGCTAGGAGGCTAACGTTAGCTTGATTGGAAGAAGCTAGGCTAGGCTAGCTGGATACACCGCTTGTGACACAACTTCATTCACCCCGGTTTTACAAGTGTTTCCGTTTAATAGTTTAAAAGTTGTGTTGAATACTTGCAGTAACATGACACGTAGTCCTCCCGACTGTATAACCTTCATAGTCACAACTGTTTGCGGGGTTATTTGGAATATTTGGATATCCGGTCTACTGTTGCAACAGTACTACCTGGAAGTTAGGAGGCAGACGTTATCAGCAGTTTTAGCCCAGTATGTCAGAAGTGGTTACTGCTTGTACACCTGCATTGACGTTGCGTATTGTAATTTTAATGTGTGTTCATGTTCACAGGCCAAGCGTACCAAGAAGGTGGGGATCGTTGGTAAATATGGCACACGTTACGGTGCCTCGCTGAGGAAGATGGTGAAGAAAATTGAAATCTCCCAGCACGCTAAATACACCTGCTCTTTCTGTGGCAAGGTAAGGACAACCCAAAGAAACTAAAATACTGTACTGTCACTCATTTATCATCTTATTCGGGAAGCAGTATTCCTATTACATGTACATCGATCAGCCAAAACTGCTCAGGAATGGCTGAGGGATGTGACAAACTTCCCCAGATCCCAATCTGATTTAGGCTAAGTATGATGTGCCTGCACCCCAGAAGCACCCCTAATCCACAGTAGGGCCTCCTTGAATCAGACTTGGCTCTGACCTGTTGAGGCATGGGCATAGGACCTCACTTGGTTTGCAAAAGTGTTTGAATGGGTGGCGTGTGTAAAGTAGCATCCACATGAACACCAGGACTCAATGTTTCCCTGCAGAACATTGTATTGTAACAAGATGTTCAATGTTATTCCCTTCAGTTGTCACTGGTTTTAATGTGTCGGCTGATCGGTGTGTATACTGATGTGAAGGAACACCAGGAATTCCTGCAGCAGATGTCACATTTTCGTGTTTCTTGGAGAGTGCACACATAATGTTTGGATATTATGTCTGGAGAAATTGACAGACTTTTTGTAACTGTGCTAACTTTTATATTGACAGACCAAGATGAAGAGGAGGGCTGTTGGTATCTGGCACTGTGGGTCCTGCAGGAAGACGGTGGCTGGAGGTGCCTGGACTTACAAGTAGGTTTCTTTCTGCTGTGCTGTAATTCTGGCAAGTCATAGTAACCCAAACTGGGATTGTAGCTGTGGATGTGTTCATAGCTATTATTAAAAAGTAGTTTTGGATTGAGGGCTGCATCTTCTGCAAAGCCCAGTGACTTAACTACCAACAATCATATTTCTGTACTTTTGACTGTTGTAAGGGCCACGTCTGGGTTTTGTAACGCTGTTTGACAGTAAATGGTCAGAGCACAGATGGAATTACGCTCATGGAACGAACAGCCATACAATTTGTTTTCAGACAGAAAGCTGGATGTCATTCATGTCAGTGCTAATCAGTGGTGTCTACATTTAATGTCCGACAATGATTAGCCTTTTGAGTTTGTGCAATAAATAGGTTTCCTATTCAGCGCCAGATGGTTCAACGTATCTGCAACAGATTTGTTTGCAAAGCTTATGGGAGGTATTGGTCAGCAACAGTACCACTCATCACACCAACATATCAAATGTCACACAGCTGTACTGTACCTTGTAATCTCTGAGATTACCATGCATATGAAACTAGTGACTCAAGGATTCAGTCAGCTCTTCCAGATTTTCTCAAACAGCCAGGGAACATTTGCAACATCGCAACCTCCCAGTTCTGGAAAAAAGAAATATGATTCAGCAGCTACACGTGCATTTCTTCCCTCAAATTTTGTTAGAAACAAATTTTGTTGGATATTTTGGGGACGTCTGACTTCTCCAAAACCGCAGCCACGTATTTCTGTTAAATATTGGAATGAAAGTTGATGACAGCCCAGGGGACCGCACATTAGTCCAATTAGATGTAGGGAGGGTTCATGTTAGTGTCAACGGAGACAACTGTAAATCTCCCAGTGGGAAGCCTAATTGCAATAAAAAAGCTGTGGCCTTGCCAGACCATAATATGAAAAATGATTGGATGGCTGGGCCAACCTGCCATTTAAAAAATAAATAAATAAATAAATAATCAATTTTATTGCATTGAACAATGTCAGTGAACCACTGAGCCACTCTGTAGAACTTTCAAATGAAGTATTTCTGTGAGTGCAGGTGACTACGATAAACTGGAATTAAAACAAAAGTGTGGAAATGAATATTTATGGAGCTAAATAAACACAGGAATGAGAAAAATACGAGAATAAATTAATTAATTTGGCAAAATAAAAGAATTAGTGCTGAAATACATAAATGCTGAAAATGTTAAAGTAGGTGTAGAAATAAATGTACAAATAAAATGAAGTTGATCATTACATAGAGCATATCAGTAAGCTCACGTTAAACATGGGATGGGTATCTCTGACTATGGAAGTTTGGGATATTCATCATAATGTAAACACCAAGTGTAAGTAATGTCTTTGTTTTGTCTCTTTCAGCACAACTTCTGCTGTCACAGTCAAGTCCGCAATCAGGAGGCTGAAGGAGTTGAAGGACCAGTAAACCAGTGCGATGATCACTGGTGGATTTGGGACTTTTTCTATAATTTAACCGACCTGGACATGGCCTCAACATCCACAAATAAATCGGTCTGGAGCGGAAATCTTTGTTTGTGTCTTTGTTCATCTCTTTTATAATATAGCAGTCGAATCAAGAAGATTCCTCACGAAACATGCACGAGGGAGAAAGTTGCTCTGGATCTCAGGGAGCCAGTGAGGTCAAAAGAAGTACAACTGTCTAAGTAAATTAGCATTTAATTATGCCACAGTATAAGAAAGGGTTCTCCTGGCCTGTAGTTTCTTGACAGTAAATGCCTGTGTTGTTTCCTTTTAGCATGTCAGACTAATAACTCAGTTTTGTGTATGTGCACTCTCTGAAACTGGAGTAAGAAGTATGCTTTATTGTCAACCTGTGGAAAATGAAATTAAAGCTCCAGTACTCTACCATGGTGTTCTAATTATAAAAGGTAATTGGAGAAATACTCAACCACAGCTTAAGTGTGACTATAGACCTTTTTCACAGCAGATATTGACTTGACACAAACAGGTGTAAATAGTGACAGCATTTCATATATCCAACATTTCTGACATCTGGTATCATAAAGCTTTAACGTCCCTGAGGAATCTACCGTACCTACCTACAACATGTACATACCTACACAAGTGACATCATTACATTGCTGGCTCACTGTTTTGATTCGGCACACCTACATGTCCCTAAGGTATTATTGATAACACTTGTTCATTTCCCTCAGCGGCCTGTCAGTGTCTGCCATGGAAAAGATTAATAATGCTTGTTTGTAGTGGAGTACATACTGTATGTAACAGTGGATTTGTATACTGTCACTTTAATTGGATGTAAGAGGATAAAGTTTTGTTTTTTTTTTATCTTAAATGATCCTCAGCACAGGTGAATAAGTACCTACAAATAAGCATACATACAAACAATACAGATTTACAGTAAAAGAAATTGCAGAAAATGTGCAGATTATAGAATAAACTTTTTCGTTCAGGTTTAACTGTTGCACTTATATATTTTAAATTGTCACTGACTTTTGTGAAAGGAATAATTTGCCTGATAAGATTTATAATAGGGATGCACGATAATATCGGCACATCATTGGTATCGGCCAATTTCAGAATCGGCTAACATGTTTTTCTGTTTAATTTATCTGTCAAATAACTTATTTATTGGCAAAATACAATATTGTGAATCCATAATTTATAATGAAACATCTCGTTATCTGTTGTATTGTACAAATAGTGAAAGAGTCCTATTTGAGACGATTAAAGTACAGAAAACTTTAAGTTTTTAATTTACTTGGAAAAAAATGTTCACAGGGCTCGTCTAAGCACAAATCTGAAAATATTTCAAAATCAGTCAGACTGCTTGCTTAAAGTGAGTTCTTCTTATTCTTATGTAGTCTTTAAACACATGACACTACTGTTTGTATTTCATTATATTTTAGGAAAAACCTGGCCCTATGTCCCCAGTGACTACATATAGTATGATGAGGAAATGGCTGTGTCTAAGAAACTACGAGTACAATCAAGTATTTGGTTTCTGTGAACTCATAACACGTTAACTTTCCAAGATATGCACACCTATGCAGTGCAAAAAAATTCCGAAATACTGACTTTAACTACTGATAAAAGGGTGGCTTTTCATGTAATTTTAAAATTTCAGTTTTCCTAGTGTGTCTGCACCACATGTCAACACTTTAGACCATTAGTTCTCAACCTCTTTTTGTGTAAAGGATCCCTACAGTGATACACACGAGGTCACAGATCCCCCATTTGATAAGATTTCGCTTCAGGGAGCTCCATCTGAACAGATTTTGGTTGTCTGATAAAATTAAGACCAAAAGTCTATAGTTGTAAGCTACCCTTATCACATTTACTCTCACTGGACTTCAGAATAAAATACTGAAAATAAACCATTACTTATTTTTCTGGGGACTCCCTGGGACCACTGCCTCAGACCAATAACAACAATTGTTTTGGCATTTTTCCTTATTATTCTAAACATGGTATTTGGATACAAGTATATTTCTTAGTCACATTAAATACCAACAACTCAGTCAGTAGCAATTTCAGTTCAAAAAGACCAGAAAAAAAGTTCACTAGTTCATTATATTTTACATAACGTTTATTGTATTGAAACTGCAGTAAACAGTAAATTCCTGAAGATGGCAGCACCGTAACGCCAAAGACACTCACTACCGTCACATTACCAGCAGGGGGCGTGGCGTCGACTTCTCCTCAGTAGGTTCCAGAACCAGACATGGCGACGTCCAGTGTTTTCAGACCAGGCTTGTTTAACCATAAAGTAGCGATTGTAACGGGCGGCGGGACCGGTATCGGTAAAGCCATCTCTGCAGAGCTGCTGGAGCTCGGTGAGTGAAGCGGTGTGTGGGGTCAGTAGACATTAACTGGACACAAGGTTACAAATGAACAGCAGCTGACTGAGGACAGGAGCCCCGTGAACTTCGGCACAGATCATTTATTATTGCACATGATTCAGTAGATTTGCCCCCTGAAGACAGTCATCAGAGAGTGAGGAGTCATTCAGTGCTTGCTTTATGACACAGGGAAAGAAAATGGTGCTCATCTGACGGGTCACAGTATTTGGTGCAGCACCTGGACAAAGTTATTCTGTTCCCCTCAGATTTCAGTAACATGAGAGTTAATTCACCCCTCGAGTTTGTCATGGCTGAATAAATACTGAATAATAACTTATATATTTTGGCCTGACCTAAGAGAAGTGTCACATTTAATACACGTATCTTTGAATAGCTTTGGTTCTAATCTTTATTACTGAGAGCACTGCCATGCATATGAACAGGGATGGGCAGTATTTCTATTACTTGTATTTAAAATACGTATTTCAATTACATTTGAGTATTTTGTAATTTGTATTTGATAAGGCCCATAAAAAGCAAATGTAATTTGTAACAAAATACTTTTGAGTGAGGTAATTTTGTATTTAAAATACTCAAAATACTTTATCCACGAATCAAAAAACAAAAATAATGGGCTACACATTCTTATAATATTGGATTTAAAAATATTTTTAAAAAAATATTTTTGTCTCTATTTTTTTTTTTAACTTGGGCCATTCAATGTGCCCTTCACTGACCTAGTGGTCTGTTTTACTGGACTGTGCATAACATAGAAAATTGTATGTTGTTGTGGTTGATGCTTGGGATGAGTATGCTACAAATGAATTGCCTCACGTGGGATCAATAAAGTTGTCTGAATCTAAATCTGAATCAATAAATAATATTTTAGGGTAGCCTACATGTCCCTAGCTTTTTCTTTCTGAGTTACTCACAAAAAGAATTGAATCGGTTAGTATAGCGCCACCTATGGACGAATCGTGGGCATTCTTTCTGGTATAGTTACTCAGGGTCTCTAGTTACAGTCTAAATTTTGAGCATTTTTGGTCAAGCACTTTTTGAGTTATTCACGAAAAGCTTTGTGGACCAACTGACCAACCGACCGACCGACCGACCAACAGAGTGACCTATAGAGCTGCAGGTCGCTGCTAAAAAGAAAAAGAAAAGAAGTATTTTCTGTCTTTGAAAATACAAAATACATGTATTTTATTTTGATAACTTTTCTGGCACCAGTATTTTGTGTTTTATTTTGATACATTTATTTGAGGGGTATTTTCTATCAAAATTCATTTTGATGTATTTTTGCTCATCTCTGCATATGAACAATCACACAGGAGCAAGCGCTGAGCGATTCTGACACGTGATTATTCCCAATAATTACATCACATAACCAAATGTTGATTAGAAAAATTATGTTATAAAGTGAGCAGGCTGCCAGTACTGTTATCATAGTTTTGTCATGACTAACTCTTTTGTCGTCAGGTTGCAGTGTGGTGATCTCCAGCAGAAAGGTAGAGAGGTTGGAGGCGGCAGCTCAGGAGATGAGACAAAGAATCCCTGCCTCCAGCCCTGCGTGTGTCACTCCTCTACCGTGTAACATCCGAAACGAGGACGAGGTAAATGTGCACACACACACCTTCAGCCTCTGTATCTGTGTCATGTTGATGTTGTCAGTGCATGATCACCAGGGGCCTGTATCACGAAGCGAGATCAACCTTTCCTGGGTTACCCAGACCTATCCTGGGCTGACTAACCCTAACAATGGCAATCAGGATAATCGGTATCACGACGCTGGATATCAACTCGGTAACTCAACCCAGTGTTGCTTTATCAAGAGCTGTGAACGCGCACGCAGCGGACCAATCACAATCATGAGAGAAGCGCAGCATCACTGAGCGTCACTGAGCGTCCTCACAGAGCGCTGTATGTGAGGGAAAAAAGGTATTTCTCGTGAGGATCAGAGATTAATTCTACTAAAATATGAGGAGAAAAGCAACATTAGAGAAAAGGCCAACACCGTGGCAGCTGCAGGAGGAGGAAACATGCGTGGCAACGCATAACGGGATGAATAATGTTTAGCTTTAGTTTAGATTAGGCCTAGTTTATTTGCACATAGGCCTAATGTTAAAAACAGACAGTATAAAATTGACAAGATTAAAAAAAGAAAAGTGCCGGAAAGGTTAGAAGCCACTAAAAGCTTATCAAAGAAATTCCCCTGTCAAAACATCAATGAAATCACATAATAGAGAAGAAAAAAAACATGTCAGGAAAGAAGAAATAGAGGAGGAGAGAGGGAAAAATCAAGACAAAACAAGGTAGCAAATAAAATGATGTGTAGGTTAAATTACTCATCACTGGTTCAAGTAGCTACAGTACCTGTACCTGTACATCTGACACTGATCACACCCTTGAATCCCATGAAATCAATGCTGCGCAGATGAATTGCGTGTATTACAATTATCGTCTAACATCATTGCGTCTGATAAATTGGTCTTCTTTGTCATAACGTTATATATGCTACAATAAAGCTTAAAGCTGACGCCACAATTAAATCATATCAACACCAAATTGATAGTCTGAATAAAATCATCCTGATATTGAGCTGTGTTAGAAATTAACAGCTG